TGAACCTATTTGAAGAATCACTCGAACGGTGGAACGATGAAAATCTCGATTCTCGAGTGGGGTAAATCGATCGCGCGCGTCTCTGCGAAACGTCGAATTCCTAATGGGGTATGAATTCTACCCCGCTCCGTTTCTTATCATCGGGGGAGGAAAAAAAGTCAAGTTTCCTGAATATTTGGCGGAATTCCGAGTGAAAGAGACAAAAGAAGAGAACTGCTCGTGAAAGAAAAAAAGAAAGAAAGAAAGAAAGAAAGAGAGAGAGAGAGAAGTCTGTTGCATCTCTAACCGAGCGTGAACTGGAAAATATTTACAGACTGGAAAATAAAATATCTGGAAGGGAAGAAAAAAAAAAACTTTATTCGACCATTATATCCTCGACGATTGCGCAATCGTGCAACTTAAAAGTTGAAAAAAAATAGTTAAAATTTTATTATGAAATATTGTAAAAGTGAAAAATAAATCGTAAAAAATCATTTAGAATTTAATTTACTCGTTTTATTATTTATAAGATGTTTTAAGATTTCGAGCTAATTAAATCTTTTAAACCTTGTTGTTAATAATTCGTGCATTAATTATGGGAAAATGGGAGTTAGCTTTCGAATTCTATTATTTACCATCGAAACTCAGTCTTGACTCGAATAGTTCAAGCGGATCCGCTTATGACTATGCCAATAACGATGAACGTGCAGTAATTACTAATTTAATTAAAAGGATCGTTAATTACACGAACTTTAAGCTCCTTTTCAGCACCTCTCTTCAGGGACATTATTTACAGAAAAAATCAAATCAATCTGAACTTTTTATCACGTGTAAATAAATATAAATCATTTTTAATCGTGCTTCTATGTAGAATTAATTTGTCGATTAAAAAGTAAAAAAGTTAATGAAAATATTATAAGAAACGATTGCATCGTAAGTTTTAAGTTTTAAGTTTTAAAACAGATTCGCTCAAAAATCTCCACTTGGAATTCCAATCTTGCATCCGTAAGAAAATTAAAAATTTCTACGCCCATCTATTTCGCGAAATTGCGATGCACTCGACAAACTTGGAGCGAATGTCGTAAGAAACTAAATAAAGATTGAAGGAAACATAAAGCAAAGTAAACGTACAAACATTTGTAACGTTTAAAGGCCGAATGTCTAAATGATGTACATGAAAATGAACACGTGAAATAATATAAAATATAGATAAAAATAAAAATATAAATAATAATGTAAAAAATCCGAATAATTTAAAAAAATAATAATTTTTCATGTAAATTCATTAAACATAAAAATATCGTGGAATATTTGACTAAAATTTTTAAATAAAATATTTATATAATCGGATAGCACGATGCAAAAAATAAAATAAATTTATCGCAAAGACCATACGAGAATGAAATTCTAATCGATCTATACACAAAATGGAAAACTAATTTCGAAGGGATTTTATTTAATCCATCTTATGTAACATGAAATATTTGCAATACACGGGATTACATCCATTGAAATCTTGATAAAAATGTAACACAAACTCGTGTTTGAAGCAAAACAGGACACAAGAAAATTATCCGGTATACGTGACATTTTATGATGTTTTTCAAATTAAATCTCTATCGATAAAATTATTCCCATCGTTAATAATAAATGTATGAAATATTTTTCTAGATAACGATAAAACGATCACGAATACGTTCGACGATTGTCAAAATTATAAAAATCGGAATGAAAAGACACACGGTGTAAGAATACGTTCATTCCCGTCGGTTCTCCTCACCATTACCATAGCCAGAGGTTTTACCCTCAACCCTTTTCAACCACGGTTCAACCTCTTCCTTTTACCTTCAAGAGTGATAGCTTTCGAAACGTTACATTATACACTAGGAACTCCTTTCGCTTGTACATCAGTTCATCTTTGTCTCCTTTAGCTGTCGGATAAAGAGAGAACGATGATCTCGGGGAAGGGGAAGGAAGTCGAAGAAGGAAAAGAAAAGAGGGGAAAGAAAAAAACGACGGGGGCAAAGAGAAGTTTCAGGATGAAAGGGTAAGGGAAAAAAGATGAAAAAAAGGAAGGAGGAGGATAGCAAAAAGGAGAAAAGCAGAAAAAACACGACCAGGGAACCGGCAGTATACCTAATATATTATCTATATGCGACGAGCTTTATGAGCTTCAGCCCTCTTACGTCCCAGCTTTCCCAGACGTGTTTCGTCGTCTCCTTAAAAGTAAACTATAATCTAACCACTCGTGCTCGCAGTATTAGAATCTTCCTTTCCTGCTAGAAATCGTGCTCTGGATTTCTTAAGCGAGGATTTTAATATTCGAAATAATTCTCCAAACTCGTCACATCGATATAAATTAAAAGGAACCGTAACTTACGTTTAAACTTTAATAATTTATCTTAATTTGTTACAAAATTCCTAAATTAAATCTCACTCTGGAATCGCGTGTCTTAGAAGTAAAAGAACGATGTGCCATTTCGTTTGTTTGAACACGCTTTGAAGAATAAAGTTGAATAAAAGATGAAAAGTGCACATCGAAGAATAGAGAGACACTACTAAGTATAACCTTACCAAATTATATATAACTTTCTGCATAAAGTGAATAAAGGAAGTAGTAATCCTTGGAAACTACTATACTATACTATACAGTGGAATAACTCTCCCTTTGTAATAAAAGCGAGGATAGTTTCTTAGATCCTTTGGTGTTGGAAACCGTAAAATCCGTAAATCGACAAACAAAAAAAGTTACGACTTCCTTTCATAAATCAGCTAAAATATACGTTTATGATAACTCGTTCAAAAAAAAAAAAAAAAAAAATACATTTCATATTTCACTTCACAGTATCATTATTATTTTATTTATACAATACGTTTAAAAATTTCGAGCCGAAAAATTTTTTTCAATCCTATATACTTCTGATTGCAAGTATGTTTGATGATAAGCACACCTGGTCAAATTCAATTATACGATTCCCGAGGGCAAGTAATCCAATTTGCACGTCATCAAGTCACACGGTGAAACTAGTTCGAAGAGCGAGGCATACAACCGACCACATGTATCAAATATTGAAGTTCCTAGATTGGCCCCAACTGCCCTTAGGGATACCAAATATCTGACAGATTCTGAAAACTCTTGTCAAATTGCGGTTTGTAATTAACAATAATCTGCATCCGAACAGACAATAAGATTCGAAATCAACACAAACACGAAACGATATTGAATTTTTTCTTTTTCCACGAAAGGAAATTTACCCTTTTATTCTCTTTCTTGCGCGTATATTCCTTGTCTATCTTCATTTAACGTTAACTTTGAGAATACGTAATAGAATATAAATCAGGTTTCTAAAGATTTCGAACGGTAAACTCCCTCACTGAACTCGTACTTCGCTATTACAGCAGATGATACGATATTTGCGAGACTTTGCTCGATATGTATACATAGTTGCACGATTCCATCTAGCAGAAATAACCAATCAAACCAGCGTTCCTTTCAGAGAACTTCTTACAGTATGTATATATATATATATATATGTATTTTCACATATCTGTATAAGTAACTTCACTCCCAGACGAAAAGCCAGACATCTGGCATGTATGTCCCGTACAATTCTAGGACATCTTAAGAATTTGAAGATCATTTTCATTGAGAAATATCATCATCAGTCGAGATTTTCAAACACTATTTGAATATTTGAATATTTTCATCCGAGTAACTCTTATCGTTAGTTTGATGATTATCAAAGCAGATACATCATATATCTGTACAGTGTACATTCCATTATAAAGTTTGTTAACGATAAATGTGTATTTTCACGTTCCTAGACGCGAATGCTATTTTAACTATTTATATAAAAGAGCTCGGACGACGAGCAAATTTTTGTTTGCGCAAATAATTACGCCATATATTTCTTGATTAACATATTAATTGATCAACAATGTTATCGTTATTGTTTTTTCATAGTTATTTACAAGTTATGACAACACGAGATCGAGCAAGTAACAATAAATGTTATTAATGTTGATTTCACGATTAATCTTATCGAATCTAAATTTTTCGTCCAGTTCGTTATTTATATGCAAATGAAATTTCAAAGTTAATTCAAAATCATAGGATAAGGACCACGTTGTGCGCAAGGATAATAAGCGGGCATTAAAATTTAACATAGAATCAACACAACACGATTGGTAGAAAAGTAATCACGTTCATTCGTAACGTTCGAAATTCATTTCATAAAAACCGCTATCTTGAAAACGCGATGAAAAAACTCGTGAAAAAAACAGCAACTTCGATCGGATAAATAAATAAAAACTATTTTATTACATTCGATGCATTCGAAAGTATTTTAATTCGCGTTTTAATTCGATCCTTCTCTCTCTCTCTCTCTCTCGATCATGCAATTTATAAACTTAATTGTATATAATGAACGTATAATGCACATATTATTTTCCGTTTAATGAAATTGCACGAGGGATTGTATTTTGGCAAAAATTCAATTTCCCATTCTATCGGTAACGCGAAAAAGCAAATTTCCATGCTAAAATCGATACGATCGTTGGAACGACAACTAAAAGCAATTAGTTGCTGATTAGAACACGATTAGATCTTTCTGTTTCTTTCCTAAAGATATAAAAAATTACGTACATAAATACATATAAATAGAATTCAAATCAAATAACTTTCTTTTTTCGGAAAAATTTTATCTTCCTCTCCTTGATTCAACGATTGTTCATCCACAATTTGCGTGTATACGATCGTTAAAGAGATCTGTTCTCGCGCAAAGTTCTTAAACACACAAAGTTGTTTAATTCGTTTAAAAAGCGTACTCGACATGGAGAAAAACTCGATTGAAATATTACAGGCAGATGCAGACAGTTCCCAAATCGCTGATAGCAAAATCTTCTTGGTGACGGATCGTGTCACCGTTCTCGAGATTCTAAGCTTCAAATATTTGCGAGATTCGAGAACTATTGAGAAAACAGGAAACCGTAAATCAATCAGATGACAGGATACTTCGCAGGAGTGATGAGAGTCAGCACAGTCTTTAGAAACGGTCTCTATCTCGCGCACGTTGCACCGATATGAAGCTGAAGGTGACAGAAACTTTTGTTCGCGTGTGGCCCCAGTGGGCCACCTGCGTGACAGGTTAGTAATCCTCTTCCTGTGTGCTTACGTTGCATTACGATCAGATCTGTTTCGCGACCAGATAACTATATCTCGAACGAAATTACGCAATCGTTGCAATCGTTCCCCGCGATAACACAACAACGTCGATGCAACATCAATTGAGGATTTTATCATAGTGACCCTATTGTCTATCAGTGTGGGATTGAAGATCGGTTGGACGTCCCCTTACCTGGCCCAATTGACCAAAGAAGACTCGCCACTGCGCGTGACCGATGACGAGGCGACATGGATAGTCTCCCTGCTTCCGTTCGGACGATTATTCGGCGCCATGCTTGGCTACCTCGCTATGGAATATTACGGCAGCAAAAGAACTCTGTTAATCTCGGGTGTACCTATCATGATCAGCTGGATTTGTATAATATTCGCCAATTCGGCTGTCTGGCTCTACGTATCTAGACTTTGCGCAGGTAAATCATCATTGCTCGATTTCCCAAATGCGCCGATCATTCCTACAATTTTCCCAGGTATGTGCTTCGGCATGTTCTACGGTTGTTTCGCCATGTACATGGGCGAGGTGGCGGCACCTGAAATTCGCGGCGCCCTGGTAAGCACGATAATAAATGGACTTCCGTTCGGGACGTTGATCGGGAGCATAATGGGCAGTCAAGTGTCCATGATGTGTTTCGGGCTTGTAAGTCTGGTTTTGGCCATCTGCTTCATGATGATCTTCCCGCTGTTGCCTCAATCGCCGCATCACTACGTGCGCAACAATAATTCGATCGAGGCGAGGAAAACTATTCAATGGTACCATCGGAAATCGAACGTGAACGCGGAACTGGAAGTGATCGAGAACTTTGTGCGATCCTCCGGATCGATGAACTTCCGCCACAAACTCAAACAGATCACGGAGAAGAAGAATAGACGGTCGTTGATTTTGATCATCTTTCTGTACATCTTCATGCAACTCAGCGGGGTAAACACCGTCACGTACTACATGGAAATTATCATCAGGAAGGCGAAAGTGACGATACTGGAACCGGCCACTATTGTGATTATCGTCAATGGAATCGGTATCGCATCTTACACGTGTTTACAACCTTCGATCAATCGGAAAAAGTTGTCGTACATTTGGAAAGTTTCATTAAAAAGATCAAAAAAATACATACTTTTGTATATAACAGATTTCCTTTTCGTTGTATTGAGAAAGATACATTCTGATTTATTTTCCATCGATATTAGGAAAACTCGGATATTCTTCTTTAACTTTTGGACATATTTCGATCGTTGAGGATATATATATATATCACGCATTTTTCAGGTATAGCGGTCGGCTGGATCAGCGTGTATCTGATCGATCGATACGGCAGAAGGGTTCTCATGGCGGTGTCATGCGGCTGCGTAATCATCGGAATGGTGCTACTGGGATTACACTTTATGTTATTGGAACAGAATTTCGACTCAAAAAATCTGGAATGGTTGCCGATCCTGGCCATGATATTTTACGTGATGATATCTATCGGTCTGATACCAGTTCCGAGCACTATACTCAGCGAGTTTTTCCCGGATGATTTAAAAAGTATCGCTGGATTCGCCGTGAGCATCACATCCGCGTTATTCGCGTTCGTCTCCAGCGCAACCTATCAGCCGATGATCGATCTCACGAGCGAAAAATACGTTTACTGGATGTACGCGATGGTCATGATTGTGTGCATGATTTATTCGTTTGCGGAAATACCGGAGACCAAAGGGAAGACTTTGCAGGTAAATTTTTGAATTAATTTAATTCCAATTTTACTAGCGTAACGTCTGATTTGTGATAAAGATAGTTAAAATGAAAGCTTTCTGTATAAAATAATCGTGGAATCTTTGCTAATGCAAAATATTTCTAATTAGCTTTTGTGAAAATTTCGTGGATAATGAGATTGATAGAAATCTGTTTTAATTCCGTAAACAATAGTTGTCAAGATACTAAATCCATCCATACAATGTCCACAGGAAATACAAGAGATGCTACAGGAGAGGCAGAAAGGAAAGAAAAGTTCAAAAGAGAAAGAGATAACAAAAGCAGCTCGATAGCAAATTGTCTATAAATTTTGTATGAATAAAATATCGTATAAATAATTAATGATCTCAATAAATGCTTTTAATTACTCTCGTTATGGATACTTGTATATTGTATATAATGGAAAACGATTAAGAAATATTATTTCACTATTACTAATTTATATAATACGTTTGAAAAAACCAGACATTTTAATGTTGCAATTATCTTATCTTATCACGAGATGTCAAAAGACAATGTTTACCATATATTCGCCACTACATTTCGTCTAAAACTAGAATAAAGAGAAATTAATGAGTATCTATAATTAAAAATATAAAATTGTACATAAATATTAAAAAAAATTACTGTACGTAAATTATAGAGGCCTTTTTAAATTCAAATTTACATTGATTCCAAAATATATTTAAAACTTTGAAAATATTATTTAAACTACTACTATTTAAACTACTGGATAAACTTAAAACATTAAAACTACATATAACTATATACTTATATGCAACTATTTCCTTTTTCTTCAAAAAAGGATAAAAATTATTCTTGTCGATCTAACGCTTCGTTTAAGAATAAAACGTTATAACAATATACGATTAAACAACTTTCCTTTGGAATCGTAAGTGTATCGAACAAGTAATGTCATTGCCGATAAGATTGGTAAACACATTTCCGTTATTCGTAACAGAAATTTATATCCCCACTTTACGAAACACGTATCAGTATATAAACCAGAAAGATTTATATTTTTATTTTGTTGAATCAAATATCCTCGTCTCGTTTCTCCGCGTATCAAATATGGAAGAAAACACAACACGAACTATTTCCTTAAGAAAAGTCTTAAATTACATCACCTCTCGAATTATCAGGTTTGTTATTTCGACTTTTATTGACACTTAAAAAAAAGAAAAAAATTTCTCGTTCAAACGAAAGAATTTGGAATCACGATGCTATTTCAAAGATGAATCGCATAAAATGATCGTACAAAACAAAAATTCACAAACAAAACTATTCGCTTTAAAAACCTGTGTTAACTTAAGGATAAAAACTGACTTGGGAATTGTTCTGTAGAAATTTCTATTGTACGATGATACGCTCTTCTTTATCTTATCTACGTTCACAAACATACTTTAACTATTTTCAAAGGTATATAATTTTGATGCAAACATCATGTCTATCATACACTTTGTCTCTTCAGAACATTCACCATGACCATGGCAATAGATGGAAAATTAAGAAGCAAAAGAATACTTTGGCCCCAATGGATAGCCGGGTTTGGAGGTAAATTAATATTATTAATTGGACCGTAACGATCTCGAATCCGTGCAACGATACGAGAAAATCGACCAACGTCGAATTTGTTTGCAGTTTTGTTATTAGGAACCGAGGTGGGATTGATGGGAGGTTGGTCCTCTCCGTACATCAGCGAATTAATATCCCCGAATTCTTCGTTCACAATTACGATGTCAGAACTATCTTGGGTCGTATCGCTGTTCAATCTCGGCAGATTGACGGGCTGCATCAAAGGTGCTCTGTGCAGCGGCTATTTTGGCAGTGAAAAGACGATTCTGATCTCCAGTATGCCTATCACGTTGAGCTGGCTCTTCATCATCCTGGCTAACAGAGTGGAATGGATATACATCGCGAGATTCCTTGGTGGCCTCAGCCTGGGAATGGTTTACTCCTGCTATTCCTTATACCTGGGCGAAATAGCGAACCCTGGTATAAGAGGAGCGTTGGTCGCAATGGGTACCACTGGATTGCCAATCGGGAACCTCCTAATGAGCGTCATGGGAGCGTACTTGCCGATGTACACATCGGCTTTGATAGCTCTAATTTCCTGCATCGTGATGATAATCATTTTCGTCTGGTTGCCGGAATCGCCTTACCACTTGATAAAGAAAAATTTAGACGAGAAAGCGAAACACTCGATCCAATGGTATCACAGGGATTGCGACGTGGAGCACGAGTTCAAGGAGATGCGAATATTCGTCGAGAACCTCGATAGACAATCGTTGTCGGACACTTTGAAGGAACTCAAGATTCTTCATTATCGAAAGTCAATATTCATAGTCTCGATTCTTATCGTGTACAGTCAATTGTCCGGGATAAACAGCATTCTATTTTACATGGAGTCGATTTTAACCACGGCCAAAGTCAGTGTTATAGAACCCGCGCAAGTGGTGATAATAGTGATGGCAGGTGGTGTTGTTGCATCGTGTTTATCGATATTCCTGCTGGACGTATTCGGAAGGAAATTTCTCATGATCGCGTCCTGCAGCGCGATCCTCCTGTCTTACAGTATTCTGACACTTGAATTTCATTTGTTGGATTTCGGTTTCGATTCGGGAAAAGTGGAAGGATTGGCGATCATTGGAATGATATTATTTTACGTATCGGTGTTTATGGGCATCATTCTCGTCCCATCCACGATGATGGGTGAAATTTTCCCTCCTCATCTCAAGTGCATCGCTGCATGCATCGTCAGTATCTCGGGCTCTACGATCGCTTTCCTCTCCACGCTTACTTATTTAACACTGCTTCATTTTATGACCGAGAAATACTTGTTCTTGTTCTATGGTTTGCTCGTGGCCTCGTGCATACCGTTCACCGTATTCCTTGTGCCAGAGACGAAGGGACTGTCCTTGCAAGAGATTCAGAATAAGTTGACGGGTAAGGACAACAACAAAGCGTTACGTGCATCCACGTGCGTCGATAAGGATAAATTTTCTCAGGAACAAAATTTCGGACCGTACGTGATCTCGCGTGACGATTAACTCGCGTAATGGTTATATCGCATCGCATATTTATCGTGCAATTAACATAGAGGGGAACTTGTATTTACCGCTTGTGAACTTGTATTTACGCTGGTTTGTAAATACCACTCAAAAAAGTGTAACGTTTTTTTTCTTAAAGTAAATGATAATATAGACTGTGATATTAATATCGATGGAACTGGAGTTGGAAGTAACTGTTATCTCGTAAGAGTGAAATATACTTCGTGTAGACGGAACTCGATTTCTCGAGGAATCGTCTCTCGATCCAACAGATATTTTCGTTCCGATGGAGGAACATCGAGAAGAATTTTCTAGTAAATCTAGAAACGCGACGATCGAAGAGGCAGGGATAGAATAGATAGATAATAGAAGAAAAGGTCGCGATGCCTCTTGTTCTTTTGCCTTTCCATTCTTCCTTTAACCGAGAAACGATGTAGCTATTTCTCTTTGGGGCGGACATACGACCGACGTAACGTCGACGATGGAACTCGGCCAGTTTCATATTTTACAAGACGATATTTCAAGCCGCGCTGGCTACGCCAACAACGTTAAAGATGCCGCGATCCCATGGTGCCGCTGTTGAAAATTGGACGCGGACCTTATCTCGCTCGGGTCATTGCACGATGACTTTCCTTGATCACCTTATAAAGCCGGGACATCGATACGAGTTTACGATGCAATTTTTCATTTATTATTAACGCATATAAGCATCAAATTTCCACGATAAATATCAAGAAACTGTGAGCAAGACGTTTCATTTTCAAATGTAAACAATTGGATCTATATATATATAGATAGAGAAATAAAAAAAATAGGAATAGCAAAAATGGGAAAGAATCAAGTGAACGTTTAAAAAAAAATAATTTATCGGGATAACGATACAGGTTAGGACGTGTAACGTTATTCCATGTTATATATTTCCGTGACGACGAACCGAACGTCAACGCGGCGAATTAATTACTTAAATGTCACTGTTATTTCATAATAAATGTTTCACGTATCGTGCACACATCCTCCCCTTCTCCAGCCTGTACGCGGCCGGTTATCATTTTAAATTCATTACCGTGCAACCCAATTGCGTTCGGAGGATTGCGTGAACCAATAACTCTTTGCTCCATCCACGCCAGGATAATGGTCACATGGATCCAATGACATCCACCAATATTGTTAACTTATTACATCTCCCGTGATTCGAATTTGCGATAAATCAATATCGAGAAGAGAAGAATTCTTTTTGGAATAAACATATATATATATATAGGAAATACTGTAAATTTATATATCCGCGTCCAATACGAAGACAGGGAAGATGCTTTCAACTATTGCTATTGTTTGACGACTTGATGAAATATACATAAATATTCATTGTTTCCTTGGATCGTGCGATTTATTTCTTCTTTTTGGTATTCGAAACGTTACAGTTTAACGATCGTATGAAAAATGAAAAATGAAAACACGTACGTCACACGATTAACATTTGAGAATGAAACAGTTTTCTGTGGAATATATAATTCTATTCGGAAGAATGGATATTGGATGTTGATGCATTTAAGAGAAAATAAGATATCGATGGGATTTGACGTTTCGGAATATCCTTTTATTTGACAATTGTATCTCGATGATGTATAAAGATTAAGCTCGATTCGAATTCGATGAACTTCGTTACGTGCTGAAACAAGCTGCATATTAATATCATTTTCATTGTTAGGGAACGTCTCGAGTATGTAATCGCTAAACCCAAACGTTAACTCGATCATTCTTCTATGTGTAAATCGTCTCTATGTTCGTTTCGGAACTTCTAATCGGTTTAAAACTATCTGCAACTAGACCGAGTCAATTATCCTGTCAACTCGAGTCTGTCCTCGATCTCTTTACCGATATAACGCGAAATTTGAAAATGTTTTAATCGATATTTTTAATCCTATTTATATGGTATACATATATACTTTATGAAAATATGAAGGTTTATCAAATTGAAAAAAAAGAACTTTAATATCAAGTTGTTGGAAACGAAACGATTCTCAATATAAGAATTTTTCGTATTTATTAGTTTTATTAAAAATGATAATTAAAAATTTGACTCGATAAAATCAATACATATCGCATCCAATGAAAAGCAAAGTTAAAATTATTATAATTAATTGATTAACTTGATTGATTGCCGTTAATAATTTGTTTATTAATTTGTTTTCATCGTATCAATTGTAATTTCTTAAATCAGTTACAAATTATTTGATGCGATCTTTTCAAAAATTCTATTAATGTTATACCAGCAATTTTTTTTATGTTACAATAAATTTTAAATCCGTGTAAAAATTTAACGTGTTGAAATATACAATTCGTCGCAATGTATAATTTGTTTCATTGTAACAATATTCAAATTGTCAATTCATCCAACTTCAAATTTTAAAATAAACAACAACGAAACAAATAAAATTCAACATCACTTTTCCCATAATTTTGTACCTAAAATTGATCATATCATATGCAACAGTCTAATAATTCTTTCTCTATATTCTACATTGTATAATTTAACCTGTCGATAGCACACACACACATACACAAAAATACGATTACTTATCTTGAAAAATCAAACAATCGAGATCGAGAATCGTTGCTCGAGTCTAGGAAAGTTCTCCTAGGAACACGAAGATCGAGGCGCAAAGAAAAATCATGCATACGAGCTGCAATAATGGAATGCCTCCAACTTTCAGTCAATAAAGAAGTTCCGAAAACAATTTTGCAATGCAATAACCCTTCGCGCCGCGGCAATCGACAAAGTTTCCCTCGAAGCCTTGCCTCTTTCACGTTCACGGACGATCTTAAAATTCAACGAACTTCCAAGAGGATCGTTTTTCCACTTACAAACAGAGATTTCCCCACCCTTGCTGTTTCTCTCCCCGAACCATTCGGAGAATGGTTGAGATCGATCGATCGTAAAGATCAAAAGATGCTCATCGAACGATGCTATACGTTTTATTGCTACGTTATTGTCTTTAGAGTCTCTCGTTGTGTCAATGTGTTTCCTCGTTTTCGCGTGGGATTTATATCCTTCGAGGGAAGAGGATGCAAAAGAGGATGCAGAGATAAAAAGAAACAACGATTTCATCATTCAAGAGAAATCGAATTTCGGTTCCAAGTAATTTCATACATACTCGAGTTTTGCCATTTCTTCCCCTGGTTCCAAAGACGAGCGTTATATATCGCGGAGATAAAGTTCGCGAAATAAAATTTGACAATCAACGTCGTTTAACTGTAGAAACTAAAATAAATACTTTTTTAATTAATTTATTTTAGATTTCGAAAGGCACTATGCGCTGTACGAGATATTTTACATATATACATTTCAATGTTCTTTAAGTAAATTATAATATATATATTTTACTTTTTCTAAATTTTTGGATATTCTCTAATGCATAAACGTCTGCAGTTTGCTTTTACCACAAAGTGAAGTTACGTTTCACCGAAAAAACTTTTCGCGAGGGTTAATGGTAATTCCGCGAGAAAGAAGCAGCAATCTTGCTCTCCTCGACGAACAAAAATTCGTTAAGATATCTTTTTACCAAAAAAAAAAAAAAAAAAAGAAAGAAAAGAAAGAAAAAAGAAAAAGAAAAAGGAGGGAAGGAATTAGAGCGAATCTGCAAAAGGTTCCAAAGTGCAAAAGTTCGATGCACCAGTAGCATCGACCGGACAAAATGTAGGCTAGTAGTATGTCACGAAAACGCCGGAATTGGTTGGTCGCCAAGTCGCGGATAGTCAATGGAACGAAGATAGGAAGGGAGGAACGAACCAGCAGGTCTGTAACCTAAATTCTCGCGCGCAGACTTCCAGCTTTGAAACAGCCTGTACCGCTTCCGGTGGATCAATGATACTCGTGGTTAACTGTACACAATGTTGCATTGCTGTAGACCGATTCTCATACGCGAAACCGTATTCTCGATCGTTCGCGAATTTGTCGGAAACAATCGAAACGAAAGGGAAAAAAGGAAAGAATCATACTTTGTCCCAAAAGCACGTGTTCTAATAACGGATGGATCTAACAAAACCCGAACGAATTAATCCAAATAACGCGATCGAGCGCAAGCGTCAATTTCTCGTTGCGCATAGAGTACTATGAAAAATTCAAATAGCTTTTGTTCGTGACGATAAAGGATACGAAAACCACTGTCAATCGTACGGACCTTGTATTGTACGGACCAGAGATTTATTCGTTCGAACCGATTGGTAAATGGTTTACTTTGTGTCGACGAGCGAGAATGTCTAGGTTTTGTCTTTTTTTTCTTTTTCTTCCATTGTTAATGCAATTCCTATTTTCTCGATTTTGGTAACAAACTTGTAATTTTGTTAATTTTCCATTATAAAAATATAAACTTGGAACGTGTAACTCGATGATAGAGAACGATGATTCTCTTATTTTGTGAATTTAACACGATATTCTTGGATCATTTAGTCGTTTGATATTTTTTGATAACGAAGAGTGACGAAGGAGAAACGAAGAGCTTGTAAAGAAAAGAAATAAGAAGAGAGCGCAGATGCACGGAACCATCATCTGAATATTTATACGAATGAAATGGAGTTAGAAAAAGCAAATAGAAACGAGGACTCGCAAGGGATTTCTTGCCAGACCTACCAGTATTCTCGCGTCTGTGTCTTCCTTCAAGTATATCGACATCACTTTCCAGTCTTTATTTCCTCTCGCGTCTTTCTGACCCAGTTCCTCTCTCGTTGTTTCCGTAAATTATTTCATTCGCATAAATTAAGAAAGAATATTTTGCAGCAGCCTCGCAAACTTCACCTTATGGCATTTAAACCATTTGAAGAGAGGAAACGAATTGTTCTATCTTTTTGTAAAATATTATCAAATGATGTTAGTTTCATAATTATATCTATAATAATTGATTTTATCCCAAGCATTGTTCCATAATTTTAAGAACGATTGATCAATCACACTTCTTTGTAAAAAATGTTTAATAAACTTTTCTTCCTTCTGACGATATTATTCTGATAATACCTGATCTATCGATAATTCCATCACATTATAATAATTTCCAAGCATAATTAAACGAAGAAGAAAAAGAAGAAACATTTTACGTGTTAGTCACAGCATGTGTTCCGTATCCTGCATACATATATGATTACCCTAGCGAAAAGTGATCGAGGAACACACGTTACGATACCTGTGAGAATATTCCTTTTGCTCTCGTAACTTTTCTTTTTCGTTCGCCTTTTGGGCCTGCCCTTCGCCTCTTTCGTGAAAAATGAAATATGTCCGAACCCCTAGAGATTCCCGCCTGGAACTCGATATTGAGAGCTAAAACTCAAAGAGGAGAATTTTAAACAAAGAAAATTCACTAAACTTGCTTAACTATCTTTCGAACGAATCGTGTCGACTGTTTTTCGTACAAAACATTACGTTACATGATCGATGGAATCGGTACTCTGATGGAATTTTTCAATATTCCGGTGAAAAGCACGCATATGAACCGTGACGTACGTGTCAAAAATTTAGATAAAAAGTAGTTCGTATTTTTCTTCCTCCCCCTTCCTTTTTTCCTTTCTTTCATTTATAATGGCGACCGACTGCGATACAAAATATCGGTTAAAATCCCATCTCGTATGATGTCTCTGTAACATACAAACAAATATTGTTGTATAATCTATTAATTTGAACAAACAAAAAAAAAAATCTGTACATCTGCGGGATATAAGTCAGTTGTCACGATAATTACGAAGTACGTTTAAATACCATCTATTTAATCATCAATAACGATTGATTACAGAGCGTGCGTACTACAAACCTATACAGATTGAATATTAATGGAGTATGTACTACGATCGTGGTCCATGAATATGCATAAACACCTATGCACAATTCTGCTTGGTATCCATCTAAATATCCTGCCTCTCCTTCTGTCAATTATCGCAGTGATTTCCATTTTATTTATACTGCTTTCGAACCGCAACGACAACAATGCTACAACAGAGTTTCGAACGATCGATGGTGTATCAAACGCATAGCGAGCAAAGCAATAGTATTAAAAAACAGACGGGACGCGTGTCAGGTAAACCTCCAACCCGTTAAGCGTATCCCAAGCCGATACCTAGCGGGAATAATTACGTCACATTTGCAATTGCACATCGTGGAAATGGAGGGAAACAAATATTCCTGTCCCGGTTAAAGAGATCATTAAACGAACAATAACTTTTCGAGCGATACGGTTTCGGGGAACAAAGTATCCGTAACAATCACGGATGGGGAGGATTGCATTACCGCGATAAAGGTTTCCCGGATTTGCAACTCGATATTCCCTAGACAAATATTTCCCGTATTGTCCCTTGCTTCAACGGACGACAGAAGACGCGTTTCTGTTTCATACCGTTTCGTGAATAGCCTGGTTACTTTTGCTTCGTTTTTTTCTTTTTTTTTTTTCGAATCTTTTCTCCTTGGAAATGTTTTTAGAAATTCAATTTTCATGGAACAAATATCATCTTCCGGATGCCAAAGGTACCGAGAGTTGGATCGATGCCATTTTTGTAATTCTTCGACTTTATAGATAGAGCAATGTTTTATAATAATTATTCGCTTCGTTTTTAAACTCAAGTTGAAATTAACTCGAAAACTTAAATTTTGAAAGTGGCCATACATGTATTGAAATTACGCGAAATCTGACAATCTTTCGAAGAATCCTGATTTATTATCCATCGTCGTCTTGGAGGAATGTGGATAGGAGGAACATTTCGCTATTTAAAATCGAGTTTGCGAGGAAGAGAGAGAGAGGGGGCCGGTGCCAAAGTACGGTTGCGAAATAAGCTTGGCAACTCATCGTCAATGTAACTCGAAAATGACACGAGCTTCGCGAAAACAACATGACCAGGCTGATACGGCGCACGGAGAGGAAAAGGTTCGGGGTCTTTACCGAGCTCTGAACCGATGAAAGCACCGTCGTTCTCCGGTGGATGGAGCCTGAAGAGACTCCACGGTTCGCCACTTGCACCTCGAGTGCTTTGCTTGTCTCTAGAACTCTCGAGCACTCGTTTAACAGACTGTAATTCTACGGCAATACAATGTCTTTAGACCCGTTTGCGGACAGTGTTGCTCGCTGCGAGAGAAACAATACCCTAAAAGGTACCAACGTTTCAAGTAGGAATTTTCATTCGATGGAATTCTTCTTTCTCGCTTTGCAATTACATGGAAGAAGAGGAAGGGGGGGAAAAAAAAAAGAGGAGAATTCTCAAGATGAAATTGTAATCTTCGTTAAAATAATCGTGTAAACAATGATGGAGTATTGGATCAAGATTCAAAGTGGGAATTGTATCGAGAAGAATATTCTTTGCTTTCTCGGTTTGCAGAGAATAGAGAGAGAATTGAAAAATTCTTAATACGAAACTGCTGTCTTTGTTAAAATAATGATTTCACGTACTATTATTATTCGTTGGACGAGCAACGTGAAATTGCGTAAATAGGATACGTATTTCAAAGAGAAGTTTCAATAGGACTGCGAATATTCGTATTTCAACTGTGTCTGTGGATTGCAGAAACACGTTTAACTTTCGACCCGGCTACGAAATCACTCGAAGCCCTTGGGCCAAGGGTCTGCTCGACTCTATTCACGAAGTGCGGATAGTTCGTGTTCAGATTTCGAAAAGGGAACATATCATAGACATCCGAGATACTGCTGTCTTCTCTTACGGTTTCGCATCTTTTTTGATTACCAAATTTATAATTGAACCATAATTGTCCCTATTCACAATTTCTTATGTGTAATTGTCACTTCGCTCGTTTCGAAAAAAGAAAAAAGCTCTAAGAGTTATCTGAAAATAAAAAGAAAAGTAAAAGATAAAAGGTTCTATCGATCTAAAAATTGTTAAAAAATTTTCGATAATCTTCTTCGATGTGCGCTTACAGATACTTTCGTTCGCTAACTTTTCTTTGAAAACTTTTTCCAGCATCGCGCTTTAACATCTCTAACGGTAGGTAGCTTCTAAACTTTGAAAATTCCTCTCCCTCGATATTTATCGAAGATCGTAGATCCTTATGATTCTCGCGTTATAAAGATAGCAATAATTATCAATGATTAAATTTATAAAAGAAAAAGTTAAGACCGTAATTACTGTTCAAAAAAAAGTGCTACGCTATAAATTAACTTCGATGAGAATTTTTATCGAGAGATCGAACGAGAAGATACACTCGGCCTTAAATTTCGCAACAGCACATTTTTAAAACGTTTAATTGAATTTCATGAAGAACCTCGTGGATCGTTTTTCAATCTCGAGCCTTTGGAGAGGGTCTTAAAGCAGGGTAGGCACCAGCTACAGACAGCATTGCACCGATTACGATTTATTAGGTACGTCTGTCGACAACAACCGTTTGATTACGCCGACCAATAACAAAAGAGGCATTGAACGAACCGCACGTTTCACACTTCAAACGAAAAAGTACCGTACATCACGAAAATTAATGGGGGAGAAAATAGACGCCGATCTATGAATTAAATCTGGATCTGATATTTATAAAGGCTAAATAATTTTCTTCGAATAAAGTTATCCAAGTCATTTCAGAGATTTTGCAATCGTCTTTTTAAATTGAAATAAAGATAAACATAAATTATTATATA